ACCAGCCTAGTGATGGTTCAGTAGAGCTTGACAAACTATAAACCTTCTGTGAGATTATTTTCTAATTGATTTCCATAGCTGATTATTATATTATTGCTTATGGAAATGTTACAGGCTCAAGAACTTGTAGCTGCAAACATGTTCCCAGATATTGTGATTCTAGTACTGCTTCAAATTCTACTGAGAGAGAACAAGGCGGGAAGATCCGAAGAGGTCCTCTGATTGGCTGTGGCAGAAGAAACGATGTTAACAATGAGCGCTGCTGTGTACTTTCACAGGCATCTTGCAATATCTTTGTTAGCATCATTTCTTCTCCTACAACCAATCTTCTGGGTTGCCTCCCTCATATCATACGCTTATCCCATACTCTTGTACCTATATAAATCTCTTCTTTGATGGCTTCACTACACAACTACAATAACCATGAAGGTCGTCCTCGCCACGCTTTCTCACTAACATTTCAAATTTAGAACCAATCAAGCATCAGCAGCTTCTTCCAATCCCAACTCGGCGAAATCAAAACCATATCATTCAAGTCATCCGGAGAGAAGTCAAGAAACTAAGGATCTAACCTTAATTTTGTTTGAACACTTGTGATTTGTCTCAAATTCTGAATTAGTAGATTCATGCCATCATCTCTATTAGCAAACCATATATCTAAGTAGGGGTAGAGTTCCTTTTGTTGGTACTTGGTTACTTGTACAGCTAGTATAAACCTCTTTTTTCGATGGATTCGCTACACAGCCACATATTATCCATGAAGGCCGTCCTCACCATATTTCCTCGCCAACATTTCAAATTTAGTCAAGCAACAGGGGCTTCTTCCAAACCAAGCTAGGACAAATCAAAGCAACATCCTCCAATTCATCAATACAGAAGTGAAGAAGAAGAAGAAGAAGAAGAAGAAGAAGAAGAACTAAAGAAGCATCAGGCTCACTTGTATGGAAGTGGTCCTCGATCGGTTGATCTAATTTGGCGAATGCAGATTCGATTTTGGAGGACCATGTCCAGTAAGTTTCTTTCTTTTTCTTCAGTTCAAAACCATGATTTGTAAGCATGGTTTGGACCCTACGACCAGAGTATCTGGTGTGAACTGTGAACTAGGTTTGAACTCTTTAACCTTAAAACACACACAGGTTGTTTGGATTTTTCAGATTGTGAACTGAAGTGGATCATCCTCCACAATCCACATGCTGTCAACAAGATGGAACCCACAACGATCTAGGAAATGTTTTAAGAAAGAATTTCTCAACAATATTTATGATAGGTTTTTGGAAAAACGTGAGTAATAACTGATATCATCTTATTAATTATACTCTCAAACAACCCATTTGCTCAATAATTTTTTATGATTCAAAAAATTGATTCCTTAATTGTGGTGTATGTAGGTGTCGACAGCTTAAGACTTTCTTCTCTCTTGGAGATAAACTAATCAGGTCAACCAAATGTGAACCACGATAATAATTTATTTAAGTTTATAGTTTTATACTACTAAGAATTTTTAAAAAATTATACACCAAGCATGTGCCCGTTCAAAAATAAAAATAAAATTATGCCAAGCATGTGCTAACGTGGGCATTAGTTTTATTAAGATTTATCCCACATAAATGTTGGGTGATTTGAGAAATCTTTACCAATTAACATCTTATATACTTATGAAAATACCCATTAGATGTCATTCATTTATTGAATTTTTAGAAAATTTCATGTAATTTAATTGTCTTGGAAATTTAAATACTGTGTATTTTTTTGAATTGTTTTTATTTATTTATTATTAAATACTAAATTACTTTGAAAAATGTTTAATTATAATTTGAGCTTTGCGAGCTGGACATCGCAATCATCAACCCCATCTTAATTAACGTTTTCACAACTTTCGCTTTCCATCAACTACCCACACCTACCAACCCAACCCATTCACCCTCTGCCTCTGGGACCCTATAATCAAAGTTCTTATGTAGAAAAACTTGATTAGGGTTTCAGTTCTTATGTAGAAAAACTTGATTAGGGTTTCAGTTCTAAACAAGTTTGCAAATAGTAGAAGTTTGTTTAATAAGACATTTTCAGTGGAATACATTTTAAGATATTTATTTTCTCTCCTTCTTTTCCAAATACATGGAAAATATTTCCCAATTAATTAGGTTTTTTATTTTTTTTTGTGAAATGAATTAGGTTGGCCTTCCAAGTTCCAACCTAAAAAAAAAAAACAGTTCCCTTCTCCGGCGTAATTAAGATGGTCATATCATTCTCACATCTCCCTCTGTAAATCAAATTTAATAGAGTGAACGGACAAGGGCCCATAAGTACTTTCGGTATTTAACAAAAACGGATAAGCTAAAATTGAATTTTCATGAACAAACTTTTTCTCTAAATAGTTATGTACGCACGTGACAAAGGACAAGGACATTAAGAGCCCGTTTGGTTCGCGATTAGAAAACTTGTTTTCAAAAAATAATTTACACATAAATTAACTACATTTTGTATCACATCTAAAACTATTCTTTTGACTTTACTATAAAATTCTAAATGATTTCATTGAAAATAAAGAAAACAACATTTTTTTTGTTTTGTAAAATCATACATGATTTTATTGGAAATCCTAAAAGAGTTTTGGATGTAGTACAAAATGCATATTAGTTTAGGTGTAAATTAATTTTTGAAAACAAGTTTTTTAATCGCGAACCAAACGAGCCCTAACTAATACATGAATATTATAGATCTCAACCAGCATCTATTTAAATTTTTTTTTTTTTCTTTCTGTTGTATAATAACTACACAAAAACAACATATTCTGTGAAAATATGGACGTACCCGTCGTTTATTTAGGTGCAACTTAAATTTTTTTTTTATAGTTTGGTGGATTTTCAGGTGAACCCTACAGTTTCATGGAGGAAACTTGGATTTTTTTTTGGGTACTGTTAAAGGAGTTCCTCAAAATGTTTAGGGGATGGACAAGTTAAATGAGCTTTTAGTCTAAAATTTCTCATCCAAATTATTAGTTATTTTTACTAAGGGGGTGGTGTGGGTGCAAACTAACTGAACACCCACTTTTTTTCACCCCACTAAAATTAAATAATACACTCTACCCCTGCCAACATCATCATCACCATCATCTTCATCTTCACCACTCCTCCATCGGCCCACCTCCACCGCCGGACACTTTCACCGCCGGCTAAAAAAAGTCTTGACTTCTTCTTCTTTCTTCTTCAAGGTCTGATTTTTTTTTTAAAGAAAAATCAAATTTGACTGGTTGAATTAAACCAAAACTTTCCAAGCCCATATCTTTGCTTTATAGGTACCCTCCCTCTCTCTCTTCCTCAAACGCCTATTCCATCAATTTTTCTTCGGTTTCGTTAGGTTTTGCTAGAAAGCTCCATGAAATAGTGTTGGAGTGGGTGTTGCAAGATGAAAAAGCTCACATCCAAATTCTTTTGTAACTGAAAAGAGACTAGATAAAAACTTCTCTTCATCTTCTTCTTCAAAACATTTTTAGATCTGATTTTTTTTTAATTGAAATTCAGGTAGACGGGTGGTAGGCAATGGTGAAGTTGATGGTGAGGGAGATCGATCAGAGAGGGGGAAAAGAGTGGGAAGGAGAGAAAACGTGGATCTGGAAAAAAATTTCCAGATCCAGATTGCACTCCCTCCCTTCCTCCCTCCTTCTCTCATCTCTTTCTCTCTCTCTCTCTCTCTCCCCCTCTCTCATCTCTTTCTCTCCCCCACTCCCATCTATTTCTCTCTCTCTTCCCTCACTATACGTGATGGAAGAGGGGGTTTTTGTTTTTTTTTTTTTTTGGATGATGGTGGTAGTTGCCGGCGAGAGTCGAGTGATTGGTAGAGATGGTGATGACGATGAAGGTGGAGGGAAGGAGAAATTTTTTTTTTTTTGAGTTGGGTGGAAAAATACTAATCTATTTTTGGATAACCATCCCTCTAGTAAAACTAAATCCATCCCCCCAACCAATTTGAAGCATTTTGTCCACCCCTTCATCCTGTCCACCCCCTCAACATTTTCAAGAACTCCTTTAACATCACCCTTTTTTTTTTATTGAGAAAATTCATTTTTATGAGGTGAAAGTAACGGGCTAAAGAAACCGTTGTCTAAACTTTAACCACGAAAACTATGCGTTACAAATGTGGAAGGTGTCTTGAGAGTTGAGGGACCAGTGGTATTTTTTGATGGACGGCCAAGATCAATTCAAATGGAATCGTATGGCTTCAATTGAGGTCAAAATCCTCATTAGAGAACCAAAAGAAAGTCAAAGACAAATCAAAGTGGGGTCGACTGTGATCTTTTTCCAATCCGTCGATTCCCATGACGTGGAAATGTGAAATCTCGTTTATAACCTTTTTTAACGGATGCGCACTACGCACGCCGAATTAGTTAGAGCGTGGAGACTCCTAATGTGTAACGGTACGGCGGCTGGTAAGAAGACGGAGGAAGTTGGTGAAAGAAAACAAAGACCAACAGAACCTTTTAAAGCATACTAATCCCTTTTTCTTCTCCAAAGATCTCTCTCTCACTTTCTCTCTCTACTTTCTCTCTCTTCGGTGATTTTTCAGTCTTAAAAGATCGAAATCTGATAAGAGTTTTTCGAATTTGATCGACTGAGAAAATCTCTTTTCTTGCATCACCTTCAGCACTTTTTTCGAATTCGATCAGTCTGTTGGTTAGTTTCATTTTGTTAGATCTTTCAACTCAAATTAGATGAGCTGTTTAAATTTTTTGTTTTGTTTTAGTATTTGATCTTTGAATTCGACTCTGGTCTCTGAATCAATCTCTTGATCTCAAATTGAATAAAATTTTCGTGCATGGACTGAAATCTGATGATCTTTTGTTTCTGTTTTTTAGCTCTGATATCTACGATCCATGTAATTACTAGTAATTAGCTGCTCTGTTGTGTAGTTGAATCTAGACTGAAATTCTTTATTTTCCTTTCTGTAAATGCAGATTTGTAGTGAGGATATTATTTCCCCCCTTGTTAGCTAGCTAAATTAGAATGGTATCGAAAGCTTGCTGCGGGTTCTTGACAGAAAGAAAAACTACTGAAAGGAATGACTCCTTCTCCGAGGGAAAAGATTCTGAAATTGTACCTGAAACTGGGTGTCTCTCAATTATTGTGCTAGGTGCTTCTGGTGACCTTGCCAAGAAGAAGACTTTTCCGGCACTTTTCAATCTCTACCGAGAGGTTTATTAATTAAACTCTAATTTCCATACTGATTATTAACCTTATCTGGGTAGTTCAATCTGTTTTTTTTTTTTGAATTGAATTTATGTTCTTGGTTGAACAAAAATAAAAGGAAGTGGATCGTCATGAACTACTGGTTTCTTTGGTTGATGAGATCTTTTAATTCTTTAAGCAACCTAAACTGCTTTAGCAATTTAAGGGATATCAGTGTCACACACAGGACAGGTTGGGACTGGGTTATAGCTTTTAACTAGAAGATCATATTGATAAAAGATCATGAGAAAATTTAATGAGTTTTTGGTTTTAGTGTAGGTTGTTTTGTATTATTTGAAGAAGACTGTGTTTAATGTACTAATTTAGATTGAGGTATTATGCACAGGGATTCCTACAAGCAAATGAAGTTCACATTTTTGGTTATGCTCGAACCAAGATTTCGGATGATGAGTTGAGGAGTCGCATACGTGGGTGAGATTTCTTACCTGTAGTTTTGTCTTCATAAGGTTCACCATAATTTTAGCATAGCTTAAGTTAGTAATTGGAATGTTGTTCCATGTCTCTTATTCCATATGTTAGCTCTATACGTGATATTTCTTTGCTATCCAAAAACTTGATGGTAGTACTAATTTCTTGTTTGTCTGTTACTTCATCTTATGCCCTTCTCTGTTTCACGGCTTCTATCTCAGAACCTTTGGGTTGCCTGCACTTCCACCATATATTTTTTTCTGCTGTTTCACTCGTTTTGGTGCATAATGGAGATTAATTTAGTGTTAAATTTTTAATTGCAGATATCTCGGCCATGGAAAGGAAGCTTCATCAGGGCAATCAGAAGATGTATCAAAGTTTTTGCAATTGGTACATTTCTAGCTAAGTTATTCTCTTAGTATTTGTTGACCATTTGCTATTCTTCTAACTTATAACCTCTTTGACATTAACTTTACAGATCAAATATGTTAGTGGTTCGTATGATGGTGAGGAGGGTTTTCAGTTATTGGATAAGGAAATTTCTGCGCATGAAGTCTCAAGAAACACCCAAGAAGGATCCTCTCGCAGACTTTTTTATCTTGCACTTCCACCATCAGTATATCCATCTGTCTGCAGAATGATCCGGTTTTATTGCATGAATAAATGTAAGCTTCCTTGTGGAACTGGATCATTCATACTCAACCTTGACCCAACAATATGATCAAGATGGACTAATTTATTTCACTCATATGGTCTTGACGCGTTACAAATTTACTTCAAATAACTTGCAATTGTGTGGCAATTACCAGACATATGTTGAAGATGTACCTATGGTAAAAGACATTTTCAAAGAAAACCTTGTACGTTTTCTTTTCTAGCTTCTAGGTTTTACTAAATATTGGTAAATCAGCAATTTTGAAGAAAAAAGACACTTTCACTGAAATGATGATGGAAACTCTTATTCCTGTTAATCAAAGAGTCAGTGAGATGCATGTGATTCTGCTCAGGCAGATAATTTCATGCTCAAAGCTTGAAATTTCTTGAATATAATATGACTGGGGGGATAGCTAGAGATTAAGAATGTATAATCCCAGTGTAAGTTCTTGTGAATATATATAATATATACATATATGTATTTCTTTTCAGCTGATCTTGGTGGATGGACTCGGGTCGTTGTTGAGAAGCCTTTCGGCAAGGATTTGGACTCTGCGGAGAATCTCAGTGCCCAGCTTGGGGAATTGTTTGATGAAAAACAGATTTACCGTATTGATCACTATCTAGGGAAGGAATTAGTTCAAAACTTGGTAATGTTTGGCACCAAAGTTCAAGTTTGTTTATCTAAGGTCTTCCACTTTCTACTTATCTTTCTCTCCCAACTTCCCTTGAATTGGCAGTTGGTGCTTCGTTTCGCTAATCGGTTCTTTTTACCCCTTTGGAATCGCGATAACATTGATAATGTTCAGGTGAGAACCCTTCTAAAAGTACTTATGGGTTTTCTTTTAATCTACTTTCTATTGGCAAGCCTTTTATTATTCACCATGATTAAGATTACATATGAACCTGTCTTCTTTGTTCTTTTATCATATATTCTGAATTTTTGTCTCTCTCATTATCCCATATGTTGGAAACTGAGGTCTGGGTAGGTTAGATGTAATCGAAAAGAATTTTCGTGAAAGTTGACCTTCAAATTTTCATTTCAATTATTCTTTTCCTCCTAAAAAAAATGTAATTGTAATCATCAGCATGCACTCAAAGCAAATTGATTGTTTTTGGCTTTAGCGTGATTACACGCTTAAAGAGCATCAATTATATATGGATCTCCAGAGCATTTTTGTAGTTATTTTTCCTCATTCCCTATATGGATTGGGTTGTTTTGCCAGGTGATGAACACACATGCCAATGGCTTTACTTGCTTATAGATATAATATCTTGACATTTGCTTGAGCTTGACATTTGTCTTATTTTTTGTAGATTGTGTTCAGGGAAGATTTTGGAACTGAAGGACGTGGTGGATACTTTGATGAATATGGGTAAGCTTTGACATGTTTGTACGTTTCTGTTTGAAAAAATACATCTTCATTGGCACTCAAGAATCAAATAGTTATGCCTCAGTTATTGGCAGCGAAGAAGGATTTAGAGAACCATCACATACCCCTCTTATTTTGGCGAACTTTAGGATGTTTTTTCTTAGTGTCGTTAATCACCTTGTCTCCACAAACTTTGACCATTTTCCATTGGTGTAGGATAATTATCTTCTAATTATCGATCTTATCACAGAAAATGTTGGAGCATAGCAGTGTAACCCCTTTGCTATTTTGTGTTCTATTTTTATTTTCCTGAAATGAGGAGTAAACGTGGTCTGATGTTTTTGCAGAATCATCCGTGATATCATTCAGAATCATCTATTGCAGGCAAGTCTACTTGATACTGACTTAAATCCTGAAAAACCTCCAGTTCTCCATTTTCACATACCACATGCCATTTTGTATAGAATCATTAACTTTTGTATATATATAGGCAATTTCTTTTACATGAGACATCAGTGCAGTTGTTGAGATACAATTCAGAGCTTGAGTTTTATGCTTCACTTACAATTTTCTTCTATACCACTCTAGGTTCTCTGTTTGGTGGCCATGGAGAAACCTGTTTCTCTTAAACCTGAGCACATCCGGGATGAGAAAGTGAAGGTTTTTAATCGAACTTACTCTCTTTTAATAATTTCCATCTTCCATTGTATTTATTCCTGTCTTCTCCTGAAAACATATGCTAAAACAAACCTTTTGTTAACTAGGAAGAAATTTAATATATTTCATTGGATGCTTCCTGTTCTTTAATTTGAAAGGTTAATGGAAGATATTACAATTTATTGCATCTAAAGCGTTCTTTACATGCAACTGGATTTGTAGGCCTTGCATCCTATATGTTCAGATCTCTATCTTATATCCTTTCATTATTTTTTTTCAGATTTACATGTATCCTCTGAGGCAGTGATGTTGACTCTTTATCTTTATGATTATGTTGTCAAAATTCAGGTTCTTCAATCAGTCCTACCCATTGCAGATGAAGAAGTTGTTCTTGGACAGTATGAGGGCTACACAGATGACTCAACAGTTTCAGATCACTCAAACACCCCAACTTTCGCAACTATGATTCTGCGTATACACAATGAGAGATGGGAAGGTGTGATAAGATTTCATTTTGAGATATTTGAGGACCATCTATGTCTATGTCTTATTTTTCCCCATTTTTGCTAGTTATATATACCCTTCTCTGCAGGTGTCCCTTTTATACTGAAGGCTGGAAAAGCTTTAAATTCAAGGAAGGCCGAAATCCGTGTCCAATTTAAGGATGTCCCTGGTGACATATTCAAATGTATGCTATTTTCATTATTTCCTATTCAAGGTGTTGACTATTTTACTTTGGTTTATCTTCTTAGAACATTGACCCCAAGCAGTTACATTTATTGTATTGTTGTCAAAACAATCTCAAGCATGAAAAGTAGATGGAAGTCAGTTTGATGGGTAGTTCCAGTCAATCTTATCTCACGCATGTATCGATGTTAAACACAGTGGCTGTATAGGTTACAAAGTTTCGCCATAACATTACATCTGTGTCCTTGTACTTACCACCTAACTCAGTACTTGATTGATCTCAAACTAGTCCATATCTTGAACTTTCTGGCACTCATTGAAAATCATAGTACTTCATAGACTTTGTTGTAGTTCTTTTTGGTCACCATGGAATCAACAGTTTCTTATGTTTCAGATTCTTATTTTGTGTAGGTAAAAAGCAGGGAAGAAATGAATTTGTTATACGTCTGCAGCCTTCAGAGGCTATGTACATGAAGCTAACAGTAAGTATTTGATCACCATGATGTCAAGTTGGTAATTAAGCATACTGTTAGGGTTACCAGACACATATTACATACTAGTGAATTAATAAAAGGTATAATATGTTACTTATGTTGGAATACTGTTTTTCTTTGGTTCATTCTTTGAATGGTAGTTGAATACCTGTATTGCGGGTTATTTGGTGTCCAACCAACTCTTCTGAGAAGCAGTATCTAGTTATGCTGTTTATCTAGTGGTGGTTAAAGATACTTTTCCCATATATATTTGTCAGAACTTTCTCCACAGATATTAACTGGTGGATTTTCTGGGGACCTGAAGAAACATAGATTTGGATCAAGCTTTTTTTTTTTTTTTTTCACCTTTCTTCACTATGAAATTACTCCAAATCCTTCTCAATAGCAGAAGTTGGCTATCCTACTGATGTGAAGAATATCACCAATTCACCTACTTGCTTGTGCTTGTGGTTATATGGAATCTGGCATCATTTTCAAAATTTGCCTATTGCATCATTTTCTTCACTACATAAAAATCCAAACCGTTATCGTGTATATTTTCAGTCAAAATCTTCAGCATACCACTTGTACTGAAATTTGTACGATTGTACCACATCTGGAAGATGAATGCTACCTCATTGAATAATTGATAATACCATTTAAAATTTTGAAGTATCAAAATATGAAGCTAAGACCCTCTATCTTGCAGGTTAAGAAACCTGGACTAGATATGTCGACCATACAAAGCGAACTAGACTTGTCATATGGGCAACGATACCAAGGAGTTACAATTCCAGAGGCTTATGAACGATTAATTCTGGACACGTAAGATCTGTTCTCCTATTACATCTTCTGAGTGTACATGCTTTTGTATATTTACGCTGTACCCGCTACATAAATAAACTAAACAAGTAACTTTTATTCTGCAGAATACGAGGGGATCAGCAACATTTTGTCCGCAGGGATGAGTTAAAGGTAAGTGAATCCTATACTTTGACTCAATGCAAACTGTATGGTTTCACAACTTCTGACGAATTCGATTTTGGTTCATCAGGCGGCTTGGGAGATTTTCACTCCTTTGTTGCACAAGATAGATGATGGGGAAGTGAAGCCACTTCCATACAAACCAGGCAGCCGAGGTCCACGGGAGGCAGATGAGCTGCTAGAAAAAGCTGGTTACGTGCAAACACATGGCTATATATGGATCCCACCTACTCTATAATTCCACGTTGGTCAGATGAATAATCTTTTCCAAGTTGCTGCGTAAGCTTGGTATGTTTTGGCCTCACCTACTTGTAACAGATCCATATCATCATCATATATAAAACAGATACTCATAATCCCTCTAGCTTAATGACCTGGGCATGCCTTAATAATTCTCCCAGTGTAGCTTGTCGTATATGAGTTGCTTTGTATTGTAATGTTGTGGTATGGAATGTAGTAGAGTTACAATAAAGTCTTCTGCTAAGTTATTGCTAGAGCATGAGAGCATCTTTGGATCAATATTCATAAAGGAGTGTTTTAGATCATGGCATGGTAGTAACTAGTTGGATGATCCAATGGCTATGCTTCGCATCGTGTTGTTTCTGATTTGATAAACTGTGGTGGGATTCTATTAAAATCAAAGAAAGAAGGAACTTTCCTCAATCTGTGAAGGATTGCCGCTCATTTATTCTTCTTCTAAACCGCGAACCAGGTCGTTATATCCCCACCAAGCTCCTCTCCATTCTCCTTCAGTCCGGTCTGTAAACTGGCTCAATCCCTTTCTATAAGATGCACCCTTCTTGTTGAATTCGTGAATGAACTTCACATTCTTTTGAAACCACTTGAAACTTCTGTGCTTCTCATCGGGTCCCGTTCAATCTTGTAACCAATTGCCCACCTTTCATACAAGTCCCAAAGCGACTCATTTGATTCCATGTCCTTGTCCTAGATTTCAATGTGCTCAAATGGAACTGCAAAATGCCACCAAATTAAAGAATAACCTTTGAGGACTCCTGCCAGGTCCTCAATCTAGATGGATCCCCTAATGAACGTTTGCCACGTGTATAAGAAAACTTCGTTTTTGAAATTGTGTACAAGGAAAAAAAAAAACGTTTTTAAGAGTAGGCAAAGAGTACTACTATCAACAAATAACGAACCCCCAAGAGCTATACAACCTCTCAATCAATCCTAAAGTAATCAATTTTTGATCTTACCGAAAAAACAATACTAGTTTCCTAAACAAACTCTTTACACTTGCTCACCAAGAAATCTTCTATGGGTGTGTAATGTGTATATTGCACATTTGCACCCCTGTTTTCTCGAAACGAGCCCTACGTGAAACAGGGTTCAAAACTAAAAAAACTATAAAAATGAAGCTCTTATTCCACCCTATTTTGTCATTGTTAAATACTCTACTTAGACCAATCCGATGCGGGCTGGATGGTAAGGCGTCACCGTCCATAGGGGAGGTCTTGGGTTCGAACTTGGCTAAGGTGCTAGTAAGTTTCTACTCATGTAATGGTTTCCACCAAAAGAAAAAGGGTGTTGTTAAAGGGGTTCCTCAAAATGTTAAGGGGGTGGATAAAATACTTCAAAATGGTTGGGGGGATTGACATAATTTTACTAAGGGGGTGGTTACCTAAAAATAGGTTGGTATCTTTCCACCCAACCTTAAAAAATCTCAAACTAAACCATCATCTTCACCACCCTCACTCCCACTTCACCGTCGGTCACCTCACATTCCACCGCCGGCAACTCCATTGCCGGCTACCTTTTTCTTTTTTGATTTTTTCCACCGCCTCCATCCTCAACCACCTCTTTAGAACTTGACTCTCTTTAGATCCCACCCCTCTCTATCTAGCTAGATCTCGTCCTCCCCATAGATTAAAAGAAAAAATTTCAATTAAAAAATATTTCAGATCTAAAAAAAATTCGAAGAAGATGACAAATTCTACCACTGGTGGTTGAGTTTTTCAGGAAAACTCAACCATTAATGGTCGAATTTTTCATCAAAACTCAACCACTGGTGGTCGAGTTTTATTGAAAAGTTCAACCCCCATTGGGCCGAAATAGATCTGCTACTCTTATTAATTCACAAAAATTTCGAAGAAGATGACTACTTCGACCATTGGTGGTCGAATTATATTAAAATTTTTGACCGCCAATAGGCAGTTCCAAATTTTTAAAAAAAATTTGGGTAGTTCAACCACTGGTGGTTGACTTTTTTAAAAAAATTCAACCACTGATGGTTGAATTTTTCAGTAAAACTCCACCACTGGTGGTCGAGTTTTGTTGAAACTTTCAACCACCACTAGTCGAATTCGTCATCTTCTTCGAAAAAAAACTTTAGATCTGAACTTTTTTTTGTTTGTCTAATGGCAAGGGAAAAGAAGGGGAAGGAATGAAAGAAGGAGAACGAAGGAAAGAAGGGGAGGGAAGGAAAGAAGGGGGTGGGTCCTCTCGTTCTTTCTCCCTCTTTCTTTCAGTCTTCTCTCTGTCTCTCTCTTTCACTCCTCTCTCTTTCTATAATTTTTATGTGGCCGGTGGTGAGGTTGAGGTGGCCGGTGGTGGAGTTCCGTTCAGTGGCCGGCGGTAGAGGTGATGTGTTAGTTTAATTTACATCCACCACCCCCTTAGTAAAAAGAAAGTAAAAATTGAAAAAGTGATTTTGGACTAAAAGCCTATTTAACTTGTCAATCCCCCCAATATTTTGAGGAACCCCTTTAACAACACCCAAGAAAAAAAGAAAAAAAAATTACTCTACTTAAGTCATGTTTGGACGATGGAATTGTTTCAGTAATTCCATTGTTTAGTTGACTTTTTAAAACTTGGAATCCTATTCAAATATTCCTTAAAAAATGACTAAAAATTGAGGAATAGCAAACCCTCCTCATTTCCATTCCTACCAACCAAACATAGCCTTATCTATCATATTGGAGTCCTCGTGGAAGTGATCTAATGGGTTAATTTTCTGAGGATGACTATTAAGTAAAACGATTACACAACATTTTAACCCTAAAAATTAGGGATTTCGAAACGTAAAATCTTCCCTATTTTGTATTCAATCAAAACTGAGAAACATCTCGACTGATTTGGACCTTCTTGATTGATTTTGAAGATCAAGGATCCTTGTGTGTTTTTCGAGACGAAGATTACTTAAGGATTAAAAGTTTTCTCTCGAAGTTGCATGCTAGATTGGTAAGTTTCATCATTTTTCAGATGTTAATATGTTCATGTAGATTTTTTTTTTTACAGTTTTCCAACGAAATGTTTTTATTTGAACGTTTTAGGGTTTGAAAAAGAGTATTTAATGTCTGATTTTGGAGTTTTCTGCTGAAATGCAAACAGATTTTCTTTTATTTTTTCATTGTTTATTGAATACAATAACGATGCACAATTGTAGGACCACAAGTACGTTAATCTGCAATAAAGAATGAACAACACATTGTTAATGCACCTAGAAGTATAAGTTTCGAATATAAACTTGCATGTGTACATCAGTTAAAAATCTGCAAATTTGAGTTTGCAGTTTGCAGATTGCACAAAGCATGTTACTCATATTACATTTTTGCAAACTAAAATTTGCCAAAAAAAAATTGAACTACATCTTGTTAAAATTTCATTTTATGTAAGTTGCAAAAATAAATTTGCATTTATCTGTTATTGCTTTTAGTCATCAAGGGCATCAGTATGACACATGTTTGTGCAAAAATGAATTTGCATAATAGTATATCACGCAAAGTCAAGTTTGCTTTCATAAGTAATTGCTATCCAAAATATTTTGATGCAGTACAAATGTATAATTTAAGTTTTTTGTAATTTTTCAGAAAATATGGTGGGACGGAAGAGGAAGACAACAGGATCGACCAAAGAAGTTGTTGCAAAGAAGAAGATTGCTGTAAAAAAGAAGGTTGATGTAAAAAAACTAAAGAAACAGTACCGATGCACCCTGAAACCAACCGCACAGATCATTAATGACTTAAGGCCTCAGATTACAGAGGCACATATATCAGCAATGAAGAAAACACCGTTCTACGGTCTGTTTAATCTGTTCTACCAGGGATGGATAGAGGTGGGAGGAAACCAGAAGATTTCAGTGGCGTTACTTCAAATTCTGGACACCTACAGAGAATATCATGATGGGTTCAATATCGGCGAGACATTCATGAAAATTACAGCTGAAGATGTGGCTGTTATTCTTGGAATGAGAATGAAAGGTAAAGAGATGAATGCATTCCCAAAAATAGGTAGCATTGACTACTCACTGGACCCATTCTGTATAGATTATTTTGAAAAGAAAAGAACAATCACCAAAGACAGAATTGACAAGCATCTTAAAAGAATTGTTGCCATCCCTGGAAAAGAATTGGACTTTGTTAAGTTGATAATTCTTCACATGGCAAGCAACTTCCTGTTCACAACGCAAGCAGGAGGTTGTATTTCAATTTCATTCACGCTTCTTCTGAGGGATCTAGACACCATCAATAGGGTGTCGTGGCCAAAAACCATCCTGTCTTACATGAAGAAAATGGTTAAGAAGAACATGGAGAACCCAATCAATGCATCTGGAGCGATCATTTTGCTGCCGGTAAAACCCTTAACTAAATAAGTTTTTCTTTTCATGATTAAAATCATTTATTTATTGCATGTATTATGAACATGAAATGTTTTGCAACAATAAATTTGCAATTACAAAAATGTTGCTGAATGACTACAGTTATCATCGTTTGTATTATGAACTTCATAAAATTTTTGCAAATCTATATTTGCATAAGTGAAAAGGAAATTTCAAATTCAATTGTCAATTTTCATGTATGCTAAGATATGTTGTTTGCAAACATAAATTTGCACAAGCAAAAGATAATTTGCTAACTGAAATTTTTATCATAATTTTTAATATGAACAGCAGTTGTTTGCAAATTTAAATTGAATGTATTGATTTTATTGAACTTTAAAATAGTTTAGTTTGTATTTTGGCTTCTTGTGACTCTTAGATATGGTTGGGCGAGCATTCGAACATCCAAGGATGCATTCGAGGTGCAGAAAAAAGAACTCCAAGGTTGGGAAGATGGAACTTGCAAGATCTTGCAGAAAACATCAGAGTTGGTATGGGGATGCTTAGAGAACAAGATGTAAGTATCAATAGTGAAATTATCAATTTCATAAAAAATAGATTACTGGTGAATCAATAACTAATCACTATATTTTCAATTTCAGATTTCTTTAGAATTTCGAGAC